CCAGGGGCAGTGTTCCTGCAGGCAGCGCCAGGGAGGGGAAGCAGCCATTGCGTAGCTGAGATGACCTTATCAATGTCAAGAAGTATCCAGCTATTGAGAATAACTACCTGATGTTCGTGGGCTTTCAAGAAGCTGCAGCCATGTTGGAGTCACCTTTCTGTCTATATATGTGAACCCCCTGCTGCTCCCTGTGCTGATCCAATCAAGGACTGTGATGCCAAGCTCTTGCAATAGAGCTTGCTGCTTCAAGCTTCTGATCTGGAAGAAATGTACAGTCGGAGAGCGTGAATTCTGGCCCTGATGCTTTGTCCCAGCCCACCCCTACCATGCAGGTTGCAGTTATTCCTTGCAGTTCATTGACCAAGATGGGGGAGATGGGGAAAGTCTGGCATTATGTCTACATTCCGTGTGGAAACCTGTTTCTTGTTGCATGCTAGGCTTGAATGAATCACACTCTGTCATCACTTGGTGGGCCATGGCACGGGGGGGGTTTAGCTTTGAATGATCCCTGTGCATTAGGCACTTCACTATGAGTGTGCAAGTGGCTGAGGGTAACAGGTGGAATTCAAAGTTTCTCAGCCTGAACATATGGTACCAAGGTGGGAACAAGCTTTATAAAGACAGCTATCATAGAATCATAGAATCTAGAATTCTCATAGAATTTCCCCACTGTGTCCTTGTAACACTTCAGGCACAAAAGAGGGACTCTTCCTAGTCTGGTCTGTGATGAACTTGGCAATTATGTGTAAGGGTGAGCACAGCTCTCAGGGCTTCTGACGTTTTCAGAGATGTCATCAAATGTTTCAAGAGGGACATCTCTACAGTTTAAAAAGCAATCCTTGCTAAGCCTGTCCTTGCTGTGGTGCCTTGCCATGGGGCCACTTAGATTGAATTCCAATGGTGTGTACGTAGCAGCTGCGTGGCTGGAGAGGGCTTGCATACTGACCCTCAGGGTCAAGAGTGGCCTTTCATGTACTTTGTCATGTTCCGGAGCAGGGCTTTGACTGAACAAGGCATCTTTGCTGGGGTACCTGCCCTAGAGAAGCAATGTCCCAAAGCATAGTTGCTTTGGAGGCACTGCAGAATGTGTGATTATAATATGATGTGAGGTTGAAGCAAACACAGTTTATTAAAATAATTCTAGTTAATGCATGTTCTCTTTGAGGGCCATACCAGCTGAGCTTCAGCCATGTTCATAAAGTGCAACTAAACCACTTGTATGTAGTTAGACTGCTGCTACTTTGCTGGCTTAAACTGAATGAGCAGAGGCATAACCAAACAAGGGGAACCTATGTGGAAGAGGCAATCTTGAGCCTGGCTTTATCGTTTGCAAAATGACTGCTCCTTCAGTACCACATTAGAAGGTTTGGCTTGTCCGTATTCACAGCACAATGCAGCCAGAGCCCCCAAGTAATCCTGTGTTGACTGAAATCCAGAGGACTTAATCTTACCTTTTCTCAGGTTGACAAAACCTGTATCAAATTTCATCTCTAATATAAAATAATTCTCCTAGAGAACTAGTTTAAAACACCTACATTTAATATTTGTTTGTATTGACACAGTATACTTCATAACCGGGCTGGTCTGCCTAGCAGCTAATCAGATGGTGACCAGATTCCTGCTCCTCAAGTCACGTGGCCAGGCAGTGATGCCATGTGGCACTTGGCCACGGCACATTCGACCTTGGAAGGCAGCATGGCTGTCTCCCAGAGACGCAAAACATATAATATTATTTATCCGCGTCTCTCTGATGCAATCAAGTTCATCTTTGATGAACTTTAAGCTTCTTAGTGGCATTTTCTGAAATAAGTGTTCTATATTTAAAATACAGGGAACGTTGTTAAACACAAGGTCACTTTGTTTATCAATAAGTGTTACTTTTTCTGCTTTAGGGTATATGCTTTACTTGGTTTTGTGCTTTAAATTCAGCTGGAGATCTTCAGGGACACAGTAATTGTGGACTCCCCATAGCAACTCCAGTGGGGAGCATCAAAGAGCAGGTTGTCAAATCAAGTGCCATGGTGTATTTCTCCTCATGAGGAACACAGCCACTCTTCATGCATTTCTTCTACCTCTCCATTATTTTTCTTTCCTTTATGTCGGTTCATGGGCCAAAAAGGCAGGCAAACCATCAGCTGTCACTTCATGTGGAACATAGGCCTCGGAATTTTTACCCAGTGTCTCCTTTAACTGATGCCATTAACTTTTTTTTATTATTATTTTAAATTATTATTAAAGAACAACTTGAAAAAAATAACCTGGCCTTTATTTGAAGACCTTGAGAGATAGTTTGCCATTTTTATTGACATATGGCTAGGACAATCCTCCTCACTGTTGTGTGCATGATGTCTTATTCTACTCTGAACATGCCTAAATATAACTTGCAGCTGTTGATTCTCCCTGTGCCTTTCTCTGCAGGTTACTGTCCCACCAGTACTCTGTATTTTCTGTGGTGTCATTGAGAGGCTCTGGTTTAGCAAGACCAGAGTAATGCCTCAAAGTGAGTTTTCTGACCTTCCTAATTGGTCCTGTCATTTTGCTCTGGACCACCTCCAAGCTTTCAAGATATTAAAAAACCACGTGGGTGCCTGCACTGCCGATGGGTGTTGCAGCTTCAGGCTTTGCTGGGAGTCTGACTCAGTATTGTCAGTCACAGGTGACTGTGACTTCTCTGGTGGTTGCCAGTGAGGTTCCTGCTCTCGGCACCTTGTCCTTCCTCCCTGGCTGCACAGGAGCCAGCTATCACATATTCACCCATCATCTGGGGGTGTCTCTGAAGGCAGCACAAAAAGCTTCCGTGAGTCCTGCTCCAGAGTAGCAGCCTCTGGGAATGAGGGGTGTTGACACCACCTGTCCCTTGAAGCTCCCCTTCCTGACTCCCAGGTGGTTTCCCCCTTTGCATGGGGTCATCCTGCATGTTCACCACCATGCAGTTGGCTTGACTCCACAGAGCAGTGTGGGAGCTGCACAGACAGAACTCAAACATTGAAAAGAAAAACACTTATTTATTGGCAACGCATCAAAAACGAAGAGGAAATGACACAAGCAAAAACTGCTTCCACCAGCAGTTATATTCTGCCCATGGTCACCTTTAGGTGTTCCCACAGGTCATGCAATAGATAGGGATTTGTGGATCAACATCATTGAGACAGCGTGGTGGTCCAGTACCTGAGGAGACTCCAATGGCATTACTAAGCATCTTATCTTGTTTCAGTATCTTCAGCTGGCCAGGTGACTTGGGTTGATCTGAAAGACTCCCTCCACTTTAGCTACCGATCTTGCCATTTGCAACAATTTTATCAACAATATTTTTTACAATGGTATTTCCTGCTGCAAATATTAACAGCACAGTTCTTGCAGAGAGGCACACACTTTCAGCAGTGATTGCTGCTTCTTTTTGGACAAAGAATTTTTGCCATTTGTCTGCTAGCTAGTAATTAATCCATAAAAAGTAAAATTATGATACACATACACTTATTGTTTCTTCAGAATTTACACATTTCTTGGTTTGTTAAACCTGCACCAGTCCTTTTATGAACCAAATGTATTATTTCATCAAAGAATGAAGTCTGGTTTGTTTCTCACAACATTTTTTTGAAAAAAAAACAACCCCACATGCTAAATTATTAATGTTATTTTCATTGTTGAAGCCTTTGTTAGCTAACTTGTCATAACTTCACAGTCTCTTACCTATGATTATTACTGTGGAACCAACGAACAGTTGCTGGTGTCATCTCGCTTTCTCTCTGTGAACACTGTCACAACACACTCTTCTTGGGATTTCTCTAGTATGCCAGGATTTTTTAATACCTAACTGCATCGGGCCAGGTGCCTCCTCAGCCAAATCTCTTATGATTCCAAGATGCAAATTTTCTGGCTACTAATCTAAAAAGATTTACACTTAATAGCTACTGTTAAAACCTTCCTTGGTTCACAAATAGATTAGGAAGTTGTTTACCATCCTCACGTAGTATGAATATACAATTCTGCTCCTTTCTGTATACAAACAAATATCTTCTCTGTATCAAAAAGTCTCCATCAGAAATCTTCTCTATCAATAGTTTTACCTATATCCACCCAGTAAGAGGCTAAGCAATTGCTAGAATTTCTTGGTTTTCAATGTATTTTTAAAAAAACTCCTTCCCGGTGGTGTTAGCACTTGCAGAAATCCAGTTTTTCCAGATTATTTTGAACACCCCTTATCTCCTTGTATGCTTCATAAATTCTCACTTTTATTGTGTGCCATATACCTCCTTTCCATGCACACCTTCCTTCTGCTTTTTTTCCCCCCTGTTGGTTATATACAAGATTTCTGTTACCTTCAAATTCCCTGTTAGGCAGGAAAAGCATTTAATCATGTCCGTCTTTTTCACAGCTCCAGAACCACAGATCTTCTCTGTCTTGTAAACTTCTAGCAGTGAAATTTCTATTAAAAATTTTATTGTAGCTTTCTCCTGGAGAATCATATTTTTCTGATTGCTTGATTTGTGATCAGTTTAACCCATAACTTCCTCTGTTTGAGGACTTACCATTTGGAAGTACCAATTTTGCCTACATATTTGCCCAACTTTACAAACAGTTAAAACACATATATACACAAAATACCAGGCTGGATGGGGCTTTGAGCAAACTGGTCTAGTGGGAGGTGTCCCTACCCATAGTAGTGGGGTTGGAACTAGATGATCTTTAAGGTCCCTTCCAACCCAAACCATTGTACGATTCTATAAATATCTTACTTAAAAGCTTGCCTCATCAGCATTAACCAAATGTACCTATATACATCTACAGACACAAAGGTGTGTAAACTGCTATTTACAACATGAACATACATACATATATCTGTATATACACATGCATATATACAGTCATACAAACACTCACCTATATACAATTTAATTTTCCCTGAAACCAGAGAAGAAGCATTTCTAAAAACGTATGCATGATGCATCTAACACAGCAACTCAGCAAAGAGCTGAGGCTAACCATGTTGAAATATCTTACTTAAACGCTTGCCTCATCAGCATTAACCAAATGTACCTATATACATCTACAGACACAAAGGTGTGTAAACTGCTATTTACAACATGAACATACATACATATATCTGTATATACACATGCATATATACAGTCATACAAACACTCACCTATATACAATTTAATTTTCCCTGAAACCAGAGAAGAAGCATTTCTAAAAACGTATGCATGATGCATCTAACACAGCAACTCAGCAAAGAGCTGAGGCTAACCATGTTGCCCTCCCAAGATGAAGACACGTTTTTCTGTGAGTCCACCTCTGACTTGTCACTCAGCTCCTCCACCAAGGGCAGTCGTACCCCTCCCATACAGACCAAAAGCTCTGTTAATATTTGGACAGGGCTGGCTCTCCTGAGCAGGATGTGTCAAGAGATGGGAGGGAAAAGAGTGCAGGTGGGTGACACAAGGGTTCCTTCTATTCTGAAGCCCTTAGAAGTTGCTCAGACTTTGGCTTAGCTGAAAAGGATAGAGAAGGAAAAAAAGAAGTAAGATTCGGGAAGACCAAATCGGTGCAAAACGTCACCTCAGGCTGCTTTCCACAAGAAATGAGTCTCCAGCTCATCTGTTCCCCACCTCCCCCTCCAGGATCCTGGGACATCTTGACCTCCATCTCTCCTGAGTGGAGATGCAGGGGAGAAGAAGACACCCCTTGCTCCATCTCACCAACGGGGGAAGTGTCTCAGCATGTTAAACTCCTACCTGCTCTGCTCCTGAGCACAATGTAGAGGACGACAATGAAAATGGCCGTAGCAATGATACCCCCCACCAGTCCTGATCCTGTTTGCCCTGCAGAGGAAGAGGAGGATCACTGATGTTAGGTTGGTTGGAGCAGTTGAACAGCCAGCAAGTTGTCACAGTTAAACAAGCTCCCCCAGCCACTGACTGTTTATGTATTGTTGTCAGATACACAGCTGTGACAAGAAACATGTGAGCTAAAGCCACACAGACCCAGGGCCAGTTATACTGGCTGGGTTTATATGTTGTAACTTGTTAAACTGCAGTATTGCTTGCTTTTCCCTGCTGGGCCAGGAGAAGACACAGGAGCAATCTTGCATCAGCAGGCAGAGTGAGAACCCCAACAGCTCCAAAGGGGAGAAGGATTTTTTCCTATAGTTCTTGAGCAACACTGATCTCAAGCTGAACACCAAGTCCAGTTGGGCATCTCACTCCTTGGGGCATGGCTGTTTTCTTGTGCCTGTCCAGCAAGGTCCAGCCCATGGGCTACAAACTTTTGCTCTCTGGCTCCACCTTCAATCATAAAAATATCTTTTCCCCTGAAGGAAATCAGATACTTGCTCCCCAAAAGCTTCAGAAGAAGCTGAAAAAGTGAAAGGGAATGGAAAGAGGATAGAGAGGATGGGTATGAGAGGACACTAGAAGGAAAACATGGAGAAACAGGCAGATGTAATGTGACTCAAGAGGTTTTGATCCCTGTAGCGGGCAGATGAAGTGGGAGATGATCTAGGCAAGATGAAGAACTCACCCCTCTGCCCCAACACCTACCTGGACTTGGTGCCATAAGATGGGAGCTCACAGAGATGGGCTCTGCCAGGGCCATGTGTGAAACATGGCAGCTGTAGGTGGCTGGTGCCCGCGCTGTGGCTGAGCTGATGCTGAGGTATGAGGTGATGCTGTAGGTGCCATCTTGGCTTTGCCGGTGGCTGGAGAAACGTGCGTTTGAGAGAGGGATTTCCACGTCATCTTCAGGAGTCTTCTGTGTCCAGCTCACCGAGACATCCAGTGGGTAATAGCCAGCAATGCTGCAGGTCAGAGTAGTCGTCACATCTCTCTCTAACGACACCACTTCTGGAATGACACGAACTCTTGGAGGCGCTGCAGGAGATGAAGAGGGAATTGACTTATTGTTAGCAGAGTACAGAAGCCCCCATCCACAAGGGACAGAAAATGAGCTGCCTATGACAGTAAGTGTTGGGAGTGATGGGATAAGGATGCAGGGCAAAGTTTCAGTGTCTGGGGACATGGGACTGCTGTCAACCCCAGGCATTTCCCTTCCTCACCGGCCACAAGCAGCTGGATGTTGTGCTGGACCTGGTGCAGCGGTGTGGACAGCAAACAGATGTACGTCCCTTCGTCTGCCACGCTCACTCCTCGCAGGCTGAGTGATGCATCTCCACTCCCCAGCAGCTCCTTCACATCCACATGGACATTCGGCTGCGCTGCCGGGCCTGTGCTCCCCACCTGGTACCGGAAAAGGCTGCGGCCGCTGCCTTGATGCTGCCTCCTCCACTCCAGGGAGGAGAACGAGGAGCTGGGAGCCAAGGCAAAGCGGCAGTCGAGGGTGATTGAGCCACCAAGATGCGCGTGCAGGGAGGTGTTGCGTGACGACGATTGAAATTCAACTAGAAACAGAAAGAAGGGCACAGGGAAGCAGAGAGTTAAAGAGATGTGGTTAAAGAAGGGACCCTCGGGTAGGATGGGCTGGTGGAAGGGCTGGCAGTGAACTCCCCACCCGGAGGATGAGGAGGCACAGACACCCTGTGTGATGCCCCAGGGGCAATGTGGACTGAAGAGCTGAAGGAAGCCAGCCCAGTGGGGTTAGTGGGACAGGGAGACAGGTGGACACCAAGTCCACATCATGGTCTTGAGGTGCTTCTCATCCTCAGGGTCTGGGGCATGGGAAACCTTGAAAGGAGGCACAAGAGGGGCAATATGCTTGACTCCTGTTTCCCTAAGCACCAGCTCCTGGCAGCCCTCAGGTCCTGGTGAGAGATGGGGCATGAGACTCTTGGGGAGGCAGGGTCCCCTCCCCTCATGTTCCTTGGTGCCGTGGGGGCACCCTGGGCCATCTGATCACCTGTGGTCAGCAACGTTCCTTCCTTGCTCATAGGAATCCTCAGCTTTGGGTGCAGTGTTGCATCGTGCTCCTCCTCCTGGCTGCTGCAGTGGGGTCCTCTGAGCACCAGGACGATACTGATCCCACTGGAGAGGCGCAGGGTGGCTATGAACCAGGAGGTACTGCAGGGCTTCTCACCAGGAGCCCAGCGGGAGCTGTATGGGGAGATCTCGCAGTTCACCTCCTCCCCTTCACAGTCTGCGTGCAGCAGGGACTCTGCATGTGGGATGGATACCAACTCGCCTGTGAGGACAGAGGAAGAGGTTTAATTGTCTGAATCCAAAAGGTGAAAGAAAGTGCAAGCTGACGAGGCCCGTTATTTTGGAGGAGCATCATATGCTGTTGGGGTCAGCCAGAGCAGATGGAAGGCCTGCAAAGAATATGTGAGGTTTGTCATGACTTGTCTTACATCCCTCAGTCTGTTGGTTGTACTTTATCCTGCCAGGTTGCACAGAGTTCACTCTGGGCAAAAACAGCTGTTAGGAAAGGCAAATAAACAGAACAGATTCCCAAGTAAGGGAAGAAAGTGTGGCAAGAAGACAGGAGAGGCTGGATGTGCTGGATGCACACTGTATCTGTGCCTTTGGTCATAGCATGGGCTTCACTGTGGGCACAAGCATCCTAGTGACCTACACACTTTCCATGGACACCAACGAAGGCCACCTCAGTGTCTGGAGTGCCTGGCAGTAGCCTGGCTGTAGGGCGCTTGAACTCACCCATGCCCAGTCCATCCACACCTCCTGAAGGAGAGTTTGTACCCAGGCTAATGGACCCCGACGAGCCTTCAGCTTCCTCTCTGAAAATGTCTCAGAGCTTGTACTGAAGCACATGCTCACAGGTGAGCAGCGTGGGCAGTGAACGACAACAGCAAAGCACAGGCTCAGACCTTTGCTTGACTGTGTCTGCAAAGTTACACGTGAAGCAAGGGCTACAGAGGCTGGACTGCAGGTTGCCACCCATGAGTGAAGTAAGGAGAGCCAAACTGCTCACAGGGCTTTCTGAGCAGGACAGCTCTGCTTCATGTCCACTTGCCACCATGCTTCCTGCCAGCAAAAAACATCTGCGTGACTGAAGACGTGAACCCTCTTTATGCAATAAAGCTGCAGAGTGGCATAATTCCTGAGTTGTTTTCGACCAAGTATTTCCCAAGAGACAGGCAATCTAGGATAGCCCCAGCAGGAGAGAGATGCCTCAACATCTTCCACAAAGTTCCTTTCTTAAAGTCCCAATTGCTGAATTCAGGAAATGATGTGTGAAACCCACAGTGGCCACCCACAACCTGTCTAAACTCAGTTAAAGACAAATCTTGAGGAAGCCTAGTGCAGGTTAAGTGGCCAAAACCCCGGCAGCACCTCTCCCACCCCAGCTCTCCCAACTCACCTGAGGCTTCAAACACAATGGGAGAAGAGTCAGGACTTCCCTGTGGGACTTTGTACTTGGTCAGATCATCCAAGTTCCCCTCGTCTCTGACGCTGAGCCCCCTCAGCAGGAGGGTAGCTGGATGTTCAGAGGACGAGCCCCCTGTGGCACGCAGCAAGCCCCTCTCCTCTTCCCCCACGTAGGAGCAGCCCAGGGGGACATCCACCTTGCGAAATGGAGGTGCTGGTGTAGGAACTTCTGCCGGCCCTTCAAGGAGGGAAAAGAACGGGTTGAATGCATGAACCCCAAAACAGAGGGGCAAAAATAGAGGAGTTTACGAGTTTCTCTTGGGATGGGGGGGATAAATAATGGGGAAGCTGGGGGCTGGCTGCCATTTTGGGGTTGTTCTCCCAGCCCTGCTGGTAGAGGACCCCTCTAGCCCGGCGCCACCATCCTCCGGCAACACCATTCACCCTTAGGAAGAGCCTGGTTTCCCCCTGGGAGACCCTTCCCTAAAGGGGTGGGGGGGTGTGAGCGCAGGAGAAGACCCCCCTGTCCCGATCCCATCCCCCCCCATCACCGCCCCCGCCGCTCACCCTCCGCCGGGACCAGCCCGACCCCGCACAGCACCAGGACCCCGCACAGCACCAGCCCCTCGGCCATCCTGCCCCCCGGGAACGCTCCTTCCATCCAAACCCTGTGGAATCCTCCTTCCGGGAACCAAACCCGGGGCGATTCGTGCCGTTTCGTTTCGCTTTCGCTCTGGCAAAGCAGAAAGGAAAACCAAAAAAAAAAAAACCCGCCACCAACCAACCGTTAAACCCGTTAACTCTTACTGTACCGGAGGCGGGAGCCCGGAGGCAGCAGGGGAGTGGGGTGCCATCAGCTGGGATCGGGGAGCATCCCCAAACCTGCAGCTGGGCTGCTTTTGCCGGGTCCCTCTTCAAGCCAGTGTTACCTCAGCCTTTCCCACTGCGTTTCTGCCTGTCAACTCATCTCCTCCAGACCCGCTGGGCAGCCTCTGAAAGCAGCCACATCTCTGTCCACTTGATTTTTAGAAGACTTTAACTTTGGGAGAGTCTTGGAGGTTGAAGGTGGTTTGGTTTGGTGGTTGTTTTTTTTTTTTTTCACCCACTTTCCCCTTGCCAAACCTTCTTCGACTGCAAAGAAGCAGCTTGCTCTGTGCCAGCATGAAGCCAGCCCCCCCTCGAGCTGAGCCCAGCAGCGTGTGGTGCCACCACCATCCGCCGAGTCAGCCCTGGCTTCCTGGGAAAAAACATCACTGGAAAAACCCCAAGCTGCGAGAGAGGAAATGGACGCCAGCCAAACCTTCTTTGACTGCAAAGAAGAAGCTTGCTCTGTGCCAGCATGAAGCCAGCCCCCCCTCGAGCTGAGCCCAGCAGCGTGTGGTGCCACCACCATCCGCCGAGTCAGCCCTGGCTTCCTGGGAAAAAACATCACTGGAAAAACCCCAAGCTGCGAGAGAGGGAATGGATGAGCTCTGATGGTATTTTAACTATTGGTTTTCCCCGTCTTTCAGACACAGAGAGCAAATGGCTGCTTCTGTGCTGGCGTGTTCCTCTCTTCACAGTCTTGCCAGCCCTGCAGGAACACAACTCACCCTTGCTGTGGCCTGCTATAATCACATATATACACCTCTGGGTAACCATGGCCACCCCCAGTCCCAACTCTTCTGGTACAATCTCCTGACACCCAGCCCGAGAAGAACCTTGTCCTGGCGTGATATGGATTCTTGATACAGAATTATTATTATATATTACCCTTTATACCCCAATCCCATCCTCGCCCATCACTTCAGGCCTTCTTGAATATTAATTCTTCCTGCAGGAGTTATGCTCAGGAGCCCTGAGCTGTCAGGCATGGCTCTGACCAGCTCTCCCACTGCCTCGCCGGGGTGATATCACACACCTACCAGCACACCCTGTGAGTCTCTGCATCATTCTTTAATCTGAGATGCACTCATCTCTGCTCCCCTGGCCCTACGTGTTATTATCTGGAATTATCCGTGCTCTCGGGGGGCACCCCCATATGGGGGGCACCCATCAGCCAATGAAGCAGAGCACAAGTGTTTGTGCAGCCTCTTCACCCCAGGCAAATGCAGCAGCAGTACCTCCTAAGGCAAGGCTCCTTTCCCTGGTTTATTTCTCTGCCTGCTCCAGTGAGGCCAAAATTGCCTTTCAGCAGATTTACCCCCAGGCTGTTCATGCAGAGGAGGAGCTGGGGGAGGCCTGCAGCCCCTGCTGTGGCTGTGAAAAAGGGTTGTGGGTCATTGCCTGCAGGGAGGTTCAAACACAGCAGTTGTGATAGACTTTGTTTTGCAGAGCAGTAAAGCTCTTCTCTGTCATCAAAGGCTTGCAGGTGTCTGCTAAAGCTGGGGCTCTTCCCTTCTCCATCGCGTGCTGGATCAGGCTGCCTCAAACAAACAGCTCTGGTAAAAAGTTGTGCAAATTGCTAAGCTGGCTAGTAAATACTGTGTAGGTATCATGTTCAAGAGAGCCATTCAGCCATGCTGCAGCTGCTGGGAGAGGGCTGTGTATCTCTTTCATACACGGAGAGACGAAAACCAGGTAAATAACTACGTGATGACAGATCAGGAGGTATCAATGGGCAGAGGCCTAGACAACAAGGGGAAAGAATATACTAATTGTGATGAGAGAAGCAGCAGCAGACGATACGGGTAGCCAAAGGGCTATTTAGTTCAGCTAAGGGAAGCGAGCGAGGCCAGGGAGGCAGATGCCATTATGCTACAGGGAATCTCTCAGGTGATGCTGTGGCATCAGAGAAGTGATGGTGGGAGGAGACCTACAGAGCTCTCTGATCCAGCCTCCTGCTCGATCAGGTCACCATGATTTTGTCCGAACAGGTCTGGAAACCCTGCAAGGGTGGATATACTGCCTCCTTGCTGGGTACCTGTTCCAGTGCGGCATCACCTTTCTGTTAAAAAAATTGTTCCTGAAATTCAGCCTGGCCCTCCCGATCCTCAACTCGTTGCCATTGCCCCTTGTTACATCACCTGCTACTATTGAGAAGACTTTGGCTCCATTATCTTCCTAACTACCTTCCAGATATTTGTCGAAATATGAACAACTAACGCGGGGTGTAAACCAGTTATCATGCAAGTAACAGAAATATGGTAGAGTAACATTCATCCCCAGTATTAAAATATTCTGTTGTTCAGGAGTGCCCTAAAGGAAGATAAAAGTAGTGCATTAGCACCCCATGAATGATGCTATAGGTTGTTTAAGTGGAATTCAGAAAGTTAAAAGAGACTTTTTATTGGTGCAGCTCAGAACCAGCTGCGAACCACTCAAGTCCATAAATCAGATATGTAGGGAGAGAGCTAGTATTAAAGAGATAAATCCCAGTAAGAACTATGCTGCCGTGGGGAGACTAACTTCAGGGTTATGGACTAAAGAATAATCTCTGATTATCGTAATGGGCCTTAGGCCTATAATTCTCAATATGACACATGACAAATTCTTTCACAAAACCATCACTGAACCTACAAAAGATTTGTTAGTTGTAAATAGCAAATAAGTCATAGAGCAGGTGGTCATCAAAAATAAATTTGGAGCGTGTGATCAGAATTTCCTTACATATAAATGAAGTGGGAAGCTAAATAAGAATAGGCCTGTACTGTACATGCAGATTTTGTTTCAAAAGAAGTAAAACCATCAAGGAGTTAAGAGAACTCTTTAATGTGGACTGTAGCAGTAAGGAAACTTGATGTGAAAGAAGCCCAGAATTTCTCAGGGTGAGGCACAGCAGCTGTGGAACTTGCACCCCAAGAAGCAAAAATTCTCCTGTATCTTCCTGGCTGAACAGCCACAAGGTTTTGTTAAAAGTAGGTGAAGAGTAAGGAGAGAGAGATCAGCAAAGAAAACTCTTCTTCAAATGTTTGTAGATGTAATGTAATGTCAAACTGGAAACTGGATTTTTGAAAGAAGAGAAAGTTTTTCACGTAAGTAAATAACTGAACCAGGAAGGAGAAAGTGGGTATGCAGAGGATGGGGTGAAACCCAAGAATAGTTGTTAAAATTAAATAAATATAAAATAAATATCAATAATAAATACAAATAATAGTCTTCAACTGGGAAAATAATAGTGAAAAGTGGAGTAGAGAAAAGGAGCGTAATGAATATGAGGGTACAGGAACTACCCATCTAATTTGAAAGCAAAGCAAACATTAATGTGATGAAACTAAGAAAACAAGCTAAGACTTGGATTTTGTTTGTTTGGTTGTTTTTGTTTTTTAAACCATAATAATTTTTATTCTTAAGAAAGCAACAAGGAGTTACAGAATTCTGCAAAATTACAAACACCGTTCAGATAAATGTCACCTTACCTGTGCTCACTCAGTTTTGGGAGCTGGAGGCCTGGAAGGTAATTTCTTCCTCCAACCCAGACTTACAACACGTGTCAGTGGGTGATCTACCCTTTCACCCCTTCAGAACTGTCATCTGCCCCATGTTACTCTATAATACTGATGTGAAATTTCCAGCCCCTTCCTGAAGGAGAAGCATTTATCCAGAAAGTCTGTTGTTGGCAGCAAATGATGAACGTACAGGGACATCAAAAGTGGTGACTCTTTGTGGTTTTACAGCGGCCCTTCAGCTCGTGTTTCAATGATCTGTTGGCCAAATATTCTAACCCAGAACAGAGGTTGTTCCGCAGCGTGAGGTCCAATGTAAAAATTGCAGTTCAAAACAGAGTCTGCATCTCACTGAGTACATCAGGCTCATTCAAATATCTTATTCTGTCAGTCAAAACCAAATAAAATAAACTCTCCATTCCCCTTATGTCTCTGCTCTCCTAAATGTCACTCCTATTCTCCTGGTGTCTGAACCGCTTCCTCCTAAAACATTTGCAGCTGCATCACCTCTTCCACATCCCACATCCCTTCATTCCTTTGCCCTTTTATCATTCTCCACTTGCCTCTCCCCATGACACATACAATCAGGCAGGTCTCCTCTAGCCAAACCCGTTACCTTTTCTGTTTCCCATCTTGTCTCGAGCACTTTTGCCCTGCTCTGACCTCTCTGATTTTCAACGATGCCATCATTCCTGTTTCCATTCTTCCAACACATGGACACAGGGCGAAGCACATCAGCCTGGAGTGTGCAGAGCATTGCTCTTGCCCTGCACAAGACATGTGGGCACCACAAATGTGTTCAAAGCCATGAAGGTCTGGAGGGTGAGATCAGGACCGAGAGCAACCTCAGGGCTCTGCAGGACTTGGGTCCCCCTTTCCAGTTCGGACCCGGCCACAGCAAAAGACTTGTTTTGAAAAACACCAAATGCCCAGTTTCTTCTAATCAAATCCCTCAAGCTGAAATTTAGGAAGAGTTTTAATTTTCCATCAGTCAAGTTATGAGCTTAAAGTAGGAGCCTAAGAACTTGCTGAACCCAAATCAAAGCCTCTCATCTTTTAACTAAGCCAGGTTTGTCCTCACCAAAATGAACAGAGCAGGCAAATTCAGTTCACTGCAGTTCTCCAAAGCTTCTGCCGACTCTGCTAATGAGCAGGAGCATCAACACTGACCTACCTTGGCATACATCCTCTGATTAATTAAACTGTGTCTGACACCAGCTCGCAGCTCTCCACTAGTGTTAAATGTGGTGAGATAAGGTGAGAAGTGGCTACCAGCTGGAATTTGCCAGGTGGCTATGCACCAGTATAAGGGTGATCTCCACTTCCCTGTACAGCTTCCCCTCTTGCAGGGTTGGGTTTACCAGACTAACCTGAGGATGACTGTGGATTTTCAGCTTCCACCGTATAAGCTGAAGGTTACTTAACCAAATTTACAGTTTACAGAAGTATATATTCATGGGGGAATATTTGTCTCTTTCTCTCTCCCTGGATGAACAGCCTGTGTCTCTCTGGAGTACCCCGTAGCAGTACCAGAAGGAAAATGATCTAAGTCCAGTCTCCTAGAAGCTGTAATGTACGCCCTGGCTGATCCCAAGAGGTAGAGGTTGCGACATGTGTCTCTCTAACTCAGTCACACTGGCACTAAAGGTAAAGCTGGCCCAATTCATACGTAACATAAACCTCAATTTCAGGGCAGCTACACCAGTTTAGAGCAGCTAAGTGGCTGATCAGGTGAGAGATGGTTCACAGGTTGAACTAACTTTTTTATGGTCTCTTACTTGAAATGCCTCGAACACTGACTTTGAGACCCTATCGTTTAAGCATCTTTATTTTTTTTCCCTCCCCAAATTATCCATAATTTTGAGTGTCTCCATTTTTAAGTACCCAGCACAGATACTGGTACACAATTTTTGGACATGCATTTGCAGCTGCTGTGGTCTGCAGCTATGCAGCATGCTGCAGCTCAGCATCTTTCAAAATCAGGCACGTGATATGTGCAGGATGAGACCCTGATGTAGAGGCCACTCTAGGAAATCTTGCTGTATGTCCTCACCTTTGCCAACTTCCCTGCATAAAACAGGGTGATAATATTTGGCAACCTATTTCACAGGGGATGTTTTGAGGACAGGTGAATTTTTGTAAGCCCCTTTAAAGGACAGCCAGTTTGGTTTTGCCCAGTAGCTAAGGCACAGGATGAAGGATCAGAGCACCCAGCTTCATCTGCTCCTGGCCCAGCTCAGGTTCCCTGTGTTTGTTTCCTGGTTTCCTCTGCATAAAGCTGAGATACTGCTTGTGTTTTCCATGGGATACTGCGCAGACAAGTTTAGTCTCATGTGTAAAGCATTAAGAGACTTCCCAGAAAGGATCTCTAGGGACAGGAAACAGAATACCATTAAAAAAAATAAAATTAAAATGTAACTGCTTCTACTCCTGCTCCTGGGACCAATCCCCTGTCCCCACAACTAGATAATATGCTCCTCAGGGTGTATGCCTGGAGAAGAAAAACATCCTCATATGGTTAAAAATCTCACAGGGACCACTTAAGCTGCAAGTGTGGACAAGGACGAGCTGCACTCGGCATGGTTTGGGTCACCACACGATTCATGCCTTCAGTTACCAAGTGCTTAACTTGGTTCATCGTCAACCTTTATCGGTGAGAGAGGGCTCCTTCTTGCGCAGCCTGCCTCATCCTAGATCTACTCTGAGACCAGGGGTGGCAAGTGCGGCGTCTGTCCATCCACCTGGGCCAGTTTTCACCTGGCCAGCCCAGGCGAGGAGAACAGTGGTCCAGGCCAGCAGACGTTCCAGCTCCCAGCGAGGTCCTCCTGCCCAAGACGGTGAGAAGAAAACCAGACCCCATGTCCTGAGCTCGCACTTCTGACTACAAGCTTAGAAAAAGAAAGGGGTGAGAGTTGGCACTGCCATGTCTGTGCAGCAGTAAGTAAGCTGTTGAATCGTTTTACAGGCATTTCAGAGGAATCCCACCCACCACCACAACCATGGCATTTCTAACCAACTCCTCTGAAATGGGTTTAAATAGTGTCATAAGCCAGACGCTGTTGGTAACGTGCTTGCTTTCTCTCATCTGTTGCCTCTACAAGTACATTCTGTTTTTACATTAGTGCATTTATTGAAAAATAAACCAAATTCTGCTCTGTAAAAAAAAGAAAAAAATCTTTATACTCCAGCCCATTTAACTAACGCAAACATTACCCATATCATTACTGAATGGGTTGCAGAATGCCTATTCTTTTACAGAAAAAAAAATACAATCTTTCTTTGACAAATCATTTACAATTGCTTACAATTACAATTTGCAATTTACCAAAACTGAGTAGGTAAGGCATTCTAAGAATGCCTTCAAATATTTTTTTGGTGGCTTCAATGGATTTTTAAATAAAGGCAGAGAAAGTTATTAACCAAAAGCTATAAAAAGACAACTGAGCCCCTACAACTGTTCGCTACTTGGTTATTTCTAGCAAAAAGCAAGTTTGTTTGCTTTGCTTTGGTTTGAATGTTCCCATGTTGAGTAATTTACCAAAAATGAGTAGGTAAGGCATTCTAAGAATGCCTTCAAATATGTTTTTGGTGGCTTTAATGGATTTTTAAATAAAGGCAGAGAAAGTTATTAACCAAAAGATAGAAAAAGACAACTGAGCCCCTACAACTGTTCGCTACTTGGTTATTTCTAGCAAAAAGCAAGTTTGTTTGCTTTGCTTTGGTTTGAATGTTCCCATGAGCTCAGCTTTGGGCATGTGCTCAAATGCTGCCCTAGCGAGGCACGCTTGCCCGAGTCAGGGCCCTAAAGGATGGTTGGTGGCTGTCAAATATTTTTTTGGTGGCTTCAATGGATTTTTAAATAAAGGCAGAGAAAGTTATTAACCAAAAGATAGAAAAAGACAACTGAGCCCCTACAACTGTTCGCTACTTGGTTATTTCTAGCAAAAAGCAAGTTTGTTTGCTTTGCTTTGGTTTGAATGTTCCCATGAGCTCAGCTTTGGGCATGTGCTCAAATGCTGCCCTAGCGAGGCACGCTTGCCCGAGTCAGGGCCCTAAAGGATGGTTGGTGGCTGTGTGTGGCACATTCCTGAATCTTAATTTATTCCCCTGACTTTGGGGGCTCCTTTTCTTTTGCTCCTGTCTCAGAACAGAGTAGCAGTCCCTAGGTTTGCTGGGCAGGAGGGCATCTACCTGTGCTCCCAGAACTTGGCTTTCCAGCCAAAACTGAGGTGTTTCAGCCCTAGTCAAGCTACATACATTAACTGGTTTTGCTTCTCCCAGGGAAGTGGTAGAGGAGCAGCAGCCTACCTTCGAGGTTGTGAAGGTGTTGTTTCGGACAAGATCCTTATTGCTTTCTCCAGGAGGCTGTTTTAAACAAGGAACAGAAACAAACTGAAAGCACACAGCATCAGTGAGCAGCAGAGGAAGTTTTAACAACTAAATTAATGCAGGAAAAAATAAAATAAAATATACAGGCTACTCCAAATGCAGCTGAGAAGCCAGTTTTGTGCGTCTGAAGGAGAGTTGGAAGCAACAATCCTCACACCCAAATCTTCTTTTCAAGGGCATTGAAAGGAGCACGGTGGAAGGGAAAGCAGGTTGCTCAGACTCTCCGCTTGAAAGTAGAAACCAAAGTCTTTTGAGTCTCCTCTCGAGATTCACACATGCCTGTCAGCAGCACGGGGTCCGTCTTGCGCTCCACTTGGTAGAAGGGACAATGCTTCAGGTGCTCCGACATGCACGCAACGTCGTTGCGCTGCCATTTGTGAACTTTGGAGAACAGGCTGCTGAACTGCCAGATCTAATATGGGAAAGGGGAGAGAAATCGGAGAGAGAAAATGGGAATTTTGGTACAAATAGAAGAGGATTTTAAAAAATCTATATATGCTTATAGTGGGTGTGCATTACTTGTACTGGACAGGCTCCCCAACATCTGATTATGCAGAAATCAGAGAGAGGGAACGGGAATGTTGGTACAAATAGAAGAGGGTTTAAAAAAATCTATATATGCTTATAGTGGGTGTGCATTACTTGTACTGGACAGGCTCCCCAACATCTGATTATGCAGGGCTGGCATAACAAGTAAAAATGGGGTCTGTATTGTTATGTACCTTGTGCTTGCTGGTTTTGCTACTTTAGTCATCACCTGCCATTTTTAATGGGAAAATATCCCTCTACAGTTTTTGGTGCCAATCCAGTGCAGGGCGTGGGGAAATCCAGGACACCTGACCAACGCACCTCTACAGACAACTCCATCCCATGTACAGTGTGATCCAAGGTGTTTATAAAGCAAAATGACTACAGCATACTTGTGCGATACATATCTCCAGGAAACCTGACTTCATAAAGACCTTCCAAAGCATCTATCAGCAACCCCAATGTACACCTGACCAACGCACCTCTACAGAAAACTCCATCCCAGGTACAGCATGATCCAAGGTATTTATAAAGCAAAATGACTACAGCATACTTGTGCGATACATATCTCCAGGAAACCTGACTTCATAAAGACCTTCCAAAGCATCTATCAGCAACCCCAATGTAATTACCATTACAACACTTGTTATTCACCCCACCCCAGAACAAGCCTGGGAAGCCTAAGATTAAAGCTGTTCCTAGAGGACATACAAGCTTATAAAAACCAGAAATGTGCAGTTAAAATTTTCCGATTCTCTTTGTAGCGTAATTAACATTACAACACTGTTGTTATTCACCCCACCCCAGAACAAGCCTGGGAAGCCTAAGATTAAAGCTATTCCTAGAGGACGTACAAGCTTGTAAAAAACAGAAATGTGCAGTTAAAATTTTCCGATTCTCTTTGTAGTGATACCATGTACCGCTTAGTGATACACCAGCACCCAGTGATAAGGTTGTGATTAAGTCACTCCAATATTTGCTGTATACCATTAAAACACATGAACTTTTAAAACCATAGTTCTTCTCCCTAAAAATGTCTCTTCCTGAGGAAGAAGGACAGTATGTGGGTGTGCTGCACTGAAGATTACTTGGCCCTGTTGTAGACCTAAACCTGTATAAATAGCTGTTATGCAGAGCAGTCAAGAAATTCAGACCAATTACAAACAATGTTTTCAAGCAGTGTCTGCGCAGTGGAAACAAGATTCATGTGTGGTCAGCACAGAGCTCTGACATTAAAGGGTAGTCAAGAAATTCAGACCAATTACAAACAGAATGTTTTCAAGCAGTGTCTGTGCAATGGAGACAAGATTCATGTGTGGTCAGCACAGAGCGCTGACATAAAAGGGTTAGACAGTCCTCAAATTCAATGCTCAGTCAAGAAATTCAGACCAATTACAAACAATGTTTTCAAGCAGTGTCTGCGCAGTGGAAACAAGATTCATGTGTGGTCAGCACAGAGCTCTGACATTAAAGGGTTAGACAGTCCTCAAATTCAATGCTGCTGGTTTGAAATTGCACTGCAATAATTGAAGTGAATTGCCATATGATTGCTCAGTCAGAATTTCTTCCTTTTACTGCAGGAAGCCACATCCTCCAATAAATTATTTCAGTGGGTAATTCCTGTTTTGGATCGGGCTAATTCAACTTGCAGCCACCAAACTTTGTTACACAGATTTTTAATTCACCACACTTCACCTTTTCTATTAATAAAGACTCCTTTCTCTTAATAAATGCTCACAAATTGCTGTGTTTCCATTTGATAAGAATTAATAGGGGGAGATCTTCAGAGATCTGCTTGAAAGCCAGGTGCTTAAATAATTTCTGGGAGTCTTCCCTGGATCTCTATTTATTCCTAGATCTCTGTCTTGTCTGCTTGGTCATGCTGGAGTCTCTTATGTTATTCTTTCAAACAGTTTTATGTTAGAGCAGCTGCAAGGCTAGCAGCTAGAAAAAAAAAAACAAACTTTAATAGCTATTGTTCAACCAGGACTTAGACTGAGCTGTGTCCAACCTTTAATAGCTATTGTTCAACCAGGACTTAGACTGAGCTGTGTTTACATATTTGTTTCAGACTACCGGAACAGCCAATAAGGGTGGTTATTTTCCAGCAAAAACAGTGGGAAACCAGCTTTGCAGAAGGTAGCTTCCTGGTCCCATGCTGCTCCCTCAGGTGCTCACAACCCAATGAGTCAGACACTCATGGCAATCCTGTGAACTACTAATCATGAGAGCCCTCAGTGGCTGATATGAACGCCTGAGCTCCTTGCATAGCAATGTCTCATTGTTCTTTACCATTTTGGCATTCTACAGTGAGTTTTAGTTTTGCCATAAGCTAAATCGCCTTGTAAAGAACAGAAAAAAAAGTATGCACTTTAAGTTCTTCAAATGCCTGAGCTCCTTGCATAGCAATGTCTCCTTGTTCTTTACCATTTTGTCATTCTACAGTGCGTTTTAGTTTTGTCATAACCTAAATCGGCTTGTAAAGAACAACAAAAAAAAAAGTATGCACTTTAAGTTCTTCAAAATTCCATGTGTAACCTTTAAATATCAGGAATTTCCAGTCCCCAGTGCCTAAAAATGGTGCACATGCAAACAGGTTACCCAAGACAAGCTTGGGAGGGGACTTTCAGCTAGTCAGAAGATGTCCCTTTACATCTTCCTACCTTCACTGGATGTACTGCAATTTACAGCCGTGACCACTGACAATATGACGCAAATTCATAACCTCATGAACCTTGCCCATAACTGCCTGCTTATGTGTGGCACCCCTTGCTACGCTTGTGTTTTACCTGGAGAGGACCCATGGCTGTCTTTTCCCCAGTGTCACAGTCACTTGCCTTTTTGCGAGCTTTCCACGAAGTACCACCATGGGAGTATCTTTTTTTCTCCCAGACCAGCAGGACCATTCCCCTCTCTTGAAGAAGAGTGGCACAGATGTCCCTCATCAGTACTGACACTTGCGACAGCTGAGATAAGCTGAAGCTGTCCAGGAACCCCGCAATGTACTTGAGCACTTCTACTGGGAGGCTGCTCAGCGAGTCCTTATTTCTCCCTTGGTTGACCACTGTGGAATTGCACTTCCCTGACTCAGCAAGGAGGGTGTCCACCTCTGGTTTGATAGCAAATGTCTTGAGAGGCTTGCTGTATATAACCTTGGCCTTAAGTCCCTCAGGGCGGAAGTGATTCTGAACAAAAGTACATCCCAAGTAGGCCAGTGGGCAGCGATGCTGGAACCATCCATCCAGACATGACTGGATATCAGCATGCACATTCTTGAAGTGGGATGGGAATTCGTCTCTCCTGAAGAAATGACTGCAAGTGAATGTGAAAGCTGAACTGCTTTTGTTGTGTCTTCTGGTTACGCATTCAGTGTAGAGCTCCACGTGGAGTTCTGGTGGGCTTTTTTCATCCAGAATATCTGCTAGAACAGCATTGGAGGAGAAGGGGTCCAGAGGAAAGCTGTATGTCTGCGTTGCAAAATCCACAAAGAGTCCATCGATACCCCTTGCTTCAGAGATCTCATGGCCTTTCAGCTCTTTTTCCAGTGCACACAGCAATGTGGCTTTAACTATATTTGTCTTAGGTAGGTCTTCTAGATTTATTCCCAATTCTGAGGTATCCACCGACTTGTCTAAAGTTGGCATCTTGTGGCCCAGCGCATCTCCTAGTCGTGCTCTTTTTCCACAGTAACTAACTGGCACCTTGAAGGTGTAAACAGTTTTCACCTCCTGAGCTTCCAAGTTCCCATAGACAAAGTCTTTTTCTTTGGGCGTGCAAGCAGCTAGCTGGCCAAAGCGGATGAGCATTCCCCCATGATGTACCAGATACATGTTGTAATCACCTACCCCAACTTCCTTCTTCAGCCTCTCCAGGACCCCTTCTTGCCAGGGAGCCAGTCCTGTCATTTCTGTATTTGGTGCTGCTTGCTCAGGCTTTTGGTCTTTTGCCTCTTCTGCACTGTCAGGTACTTCCTTTGCCTTCTCTGTGGAGTTGGCAGCATGAGGGCCTGAGGATTTTTTCTTGGAAGCCTCCTCTGCCTTTTGTCCTGCGCTGGCTGCTGAGCCCGTCACCTTGCAAGCTTGTAGCTCTTTGCTGAAGATGTTCTCCCAGGTTTTGTAACTCCCCAGATCCATTCCCTCTTTGTCCTTTGCCAGATGTTCACGCTCACGTTGGCTGAGCTCGCACAACCGGTCGTCACCTTCTTGGGAACCACAGGCTACTCCTCCCACAGCACCCTCTTCCCCTCCCATGGCTTCATCCATTAGCTCTGCCACTTCATCCTTTTTCCTCCACTCTGGAAACAGGTCGGCTATTTTCAAAGTCCTGAAAAGTATCTTCTGGTCTCTGAGCGCCAAGGCTGTGTCCAAGCAGTCTTCATTCAAGGTCTCCTTCATAATGTTCTCGTGGAGGGTTGTGTCTGAATCCACGTTTGGCCAGCGATTCCACTCCATCGAGCAGCAGACAACGCTGGCTGGACAGACCTGGAGGTGCTTCGCCAGCTTGAAGCGGGCCATGGAAAAAGGGCAGCCGTAGGCTGAGTTGAGGCAGGAGACCTGCTCTAAGGGACACAGCAGTTGGTGCTCCTCCTGCTTGCACATGTGGAAGGTGGCCCCGCAGTGAAAGCGGCAGCTGATCACCATGCAGGAGACGGAGGGCTCAATCGGTGCGCGGCAGTGCCGGCTGAAACATCTCTCACAGTGCCTGTGCTGCCCAGGGGGAGGTTTCTGAGCCCGGTGCTGTGCGTAGCAAAGACAAGAAGACAAGAGTTATTGCCTGAAGAAGCAAGAATGGCCACAGGCCACTTATGCCCATGGCTGGTTGCTACGCATTAGGTGCTCATATGCACCTTTAGTGGGAATAAGGCTGTGGGCAAGTGACTGCCAGCTCCATACAGTCATGTATCAGCACTAGTACCCACAGTACAGGGTGGCCTGATAGCAACACTGATATAGATAAGGTCCTCACTCATTAGCCCAGCCGAGGCAGCCAGTGTTTGGGAGCAAGTTTCTGTCAGTTTGGGAGCTGTTTTCTGTCCCGATATTTCCACCGGGTCTATCTATACCATGGTGCTGAACTCAAGGCTGCCAGAGGCACAGCGAGGGACCTTCCCACTTCCTCATCACTGTTTGAGTAGGAAAGATGATGTTTCTTTCTCCTCTCTAGAAAAATTAGCTGGTTGGTTGACTTGACATCTCTTGTCATCCCCTCCTCCCCACCTAAAGACATGGATGTTGTGCAAATGAACCTCCATGCTTGCTCTACACCAGCAAGGCTGAGAGCGAGGATTACCACCGTGATCCTAGCATGGAAACCAGCCTGGGTAAAGGCAAATTTGCCTGGCCTTCTTTGCTCTGCTTTTCTAATTTGCCCTTGCACTCCTAGATGATGCCCGCATGTCACGGAACAGACACTGCAGGGGACTTTTCTTTCAGGCAGGTTTGCTTGCTGCATTTACTTTCAGGCATCAAAAATGTGGAATGAGGCAATGCCTCAGTCTGTGTTTTGGAAAGAAGCTCCAGAGTGCAGCGGGGGCTTGTTGCAAGGTTATACCCACCCAGTTAGATTAATTTTCTTTCACTTCTTTTTTTTTTTTTTTAAAAAAAACCTGCCTGTCTCCTTTCTTCCCCTTGCTGTCACCAGTGAAGGCTGAGCAGATAGGAAGGAGGAGAAGAGGGCAGGTATGGATTATTTCATCCTCAGCTCCACACCACAGTGTGCAGTTAAGGCAGAAGAGGAACGACAAAGGTCTAAACTTCAACAGAGCTTTTCCCTTCCTGTGATGGAGCAGGGGAGAGGTCAGTTCTGAGAATTCATTTATGTTCCTTTGAGATCTATTTTAGAGCATCATCCTACAAAAAAACTGGTCACCACTGCTCTACTGTTTCAGTCATCCTACTTACTTCTGACCAGTCAGTGTCAAACACTACCTGGAACAGAATGGGTGACCCTGAGTTGATCATATTTTAGACACAATTTATGAAGGTGTTAGTGACATCACAAGGGGACAGAAAATAGAGAAAGAGACCCCAGGCAGCAAGTAATAAACAATTACCAGTCTCCATATCATAAATTCAGCTGCCACCAGCCAGCTCCATGAATTTAACATTTTGCAACCAACAGACTGCATTAAAAGAATAAGTTGAGGATGCCAAAACAAATGTTTCAGAAATTTCAACCAGCTTTATTATATAAACAGGCTAAATGTTTTCCTAAGGAAGACTGCATTTAAGTTCTTACATTTCCACATTAATATGTTTTCAAATTTTTTTTTCTTCTCCTCACGTTAAAAATCTTTGATATAAAAATAATTTTCCTGAGATCTGTCATGGCTGGGGCTGGACTGGTCACTGAAATGAATGACAGATGCTCTCCTCAACCTCTCTCTCCAAGGAGATGAGGGAGGGAGAGAGAGAGAGAGACCTATGAGTTTAGAAAAAAATAAACTGCTTTAATGAAAATATTAACAAAATAATGAAAAGGAAATAATGAAATATATCTAGTGTATACAAGACCAGTATCAAGGTCCCAGGATGACGATCACGTCACCGAGACTGGACTCAATGATGTATGGGAACTGGATTCCAAATCTCGATGCAGGAACGCACAGATCAGGACCAAAGGCAGACAAACAGACAGTCCTTCTTGGACACTGGCCATTGAAGAGAGAAAGCTGACCCTTTCATCCCTCAGTTTTTATACTGAGCACAGGCAGATGGGATGGAATACCCTGTTGGTCAGTTTTGGGTCACCTGTCCTGGCCACTCCTCCCCACAGGTGTGTGACCCCTCTGTGCTTTTCCATTTCCAACCCTCCAATGGGGCAGATAACAAAGTTAGGTGACCTTGGTTGTTATAGCAATAAGTATAAACAAGAGCCTCTCTGCGTACCGTTCCTTGGCATAAATTAGAAACAATCATCAGGTCTTACCTCTCTGGGAGTGAACAGTGTCTGGACAATATACTGTTAATTTCAGAGAGTTCAATTAGTTACAAGAGGCTTAGCAAACTAAAACTACTGATCAAAAAAAAATGGTTCTGTTTTACCTCAATTCAGGACAAGATCCAACAACAAAGAGCGGAAGTACAAGAACATGGTGTATGAAGATGCTTATATAAGAAGTTATCACTACCAGATTACTAGCTTTGTGTCAGAATGAAAAACTGGTCTGCTTTGCTTTCACTATTGTGTTTTATGTTCTTTCCCAGTAGAGTCAATTAAATCAGTTTAATTAGTAAAATCAATGCACTTATGAGGCCTGCTTCCAAAAGCTCTCAGTTGCCCTTGCTCATAATATCTCTACCCTTGCAATAATTCCTGGCAGTAACTCTTAACTTCTCCTTAAACACGGGAAAACTGAAGCACAGAGTCCAACAGCAAGTGAATGGAGATGGTGATTAACATGAGGCATACCTTCTGTCGTAAAAAATCTAAGAACATAAGAAACGACATTCCGGGTCAGACCAGTGGTCCACCCAGCCCAGCTGTCTTCTTTAACAATGGCTATAAGAGATGCTGTTTAGGGGGAACATGTAGGACCTCTTGTGGTCCTTTCCCCTCATATGCAGTGGTTGGATTAGCAAACCAGGGGCTGCTCAGTCACTGCTTGGAGCTGCTTCCCTAGATACCTTCAACCGGTAACAGCAACTTGGCCCAAAAAAGAGCTGATGCAAGTAGAAAAGTCCAGATTTCTGACTTTCTGTTGCAGAGGCTGCCTTCCAGCTTGGCTCACCTCACTGCGAATCTTTGTGGGAGGGAAAAAGCTAATGATCAGGAAGAACTGTAGTTCTGTTTTTTTTTGGTGAAAATGAGAAAAAGATTTTTCTTCACACCACACTTTCTATGCAGTAGGGACTACCATAGGTTCTCATTTATCTCGTATTAAAAATACGCGTTATTAGTAAAATAATTTGGACTTTGAGGTTTTTTGGGGGTTTTTTTGTAAGATTAAAGAAAATCAGTAGTGTCATTTACCTAGATGTGAATGCTCTTGCAATCCCAGGCTTAGGTGACCTAGCCCTGAGGAGAGCTGTGCTGCCTGGGAAGTAGGCTGAGGCTCAAGGGGAAGAGATGCTCCCTGAAGATGCTTCCCCTCTCTTTCTTGAAGCTGCTGTTTTAACTTCTCATCTTTCACATCTAGGCAATGGCAGTCATGAACAACGCAGGAGAAGGAAAGTCTGGGAAATGTCTGGGAAAGGCATTCCAGAAAAGAATTCCCAGACGGGCTCCTGCAGCCACCAAAGACTGCACGCTCGTGTTTGAATTCGATATGTGTTAATTGCTCAACACATCTTTATTCCATCTCTCGCAACTTCCAACACTGACCAATAGCTGTTTACATCTCTTAGTGAATCCCATTCCTCCTTGGTCCTGCAGAATAAAGGAGTAAGTCCTCTGTGGCCCCTTTACCTAGGGACAAACTTCGACTCTGAAGAATAAGCCTCAAGTACCTTCACCTTTGTTTGCAGGGAAAGAGCTTGAGACAGCAATGACGAAAAATAGTATTTTGTGACTACCCACTATAACATTCCCTGCCTTGTCTCAGGAAGCACTGCCTTCTGCACAGAGGTGACACCAGGTTGCTGGTCACCCAGCCACATGCAGCCCTCAAAATACATGTGGTTTAGGGTGGCATCTGCCCTGCTATAGGCTGTTTAGTCACATTTACTTTTATGTGGCTCAGAGAAGCAGGAGATACAGATGGATTTATTTCATGTTGGCAGCATCCTTGCTGCTCTCATTCTTGTAGCATTTTGCTGCAAATATAATCTCTAAAAATAGTCCCAGCTATGACTTGCAGAAGGTCAGAGGAAGGCTGGGTACATTACACCGCAATAAAAACATGAATGCGCGGACAATACTTTCCACTGCAAAACCAATTCTTGGAGAGAAATGATTGATAAATAAATACACATCTGAGGCACAGCCCTTCTGGTTCTCCAAAAGGGCCACAGAAAGGGCTGATCACAAAGTTCCTGGAGAGGAGCCTGCTTTCACACTGTCGCACGCCGAAATGAACCCCATCTGAATCACACGTAAAGAAAGAAAACACATGCTTTGTTTATCAAAAGTGACCATATCAGAGCATTCAGATCCAGAATTAAGTTTTCATCGTTGTTCAGATGTGCCATTTTTACGTGAGTTTACCTCATCTCTAACTTGTATATGCTGTGCTGTTAGACAAATGATTTCTATATCTCTCCTCTCATTGTCAAATCTGTGAAGCGGGAGGACAGGAAGAAGGGAGAGAAAACTTTTCTGGTACTTCTCAGGGTTTGAATGCTTCTTCAATTCTGACATGCTGGTAATCTGGAGCTCTGTATTTTAACTGATGATCTAGTTAGCTCTGTTGTTTAGTTCATGGTATCATTGTCAGTACACAAACTACGACTTTCAAAACCCTGAGTGGGAAGTTTACAAATCCTTGCTTCAGTAAGTTTGAGACATAAAATCCAGAGGCAGGAGATACACAGATACATCAGGTGATGAAACATTTCTCTAAACCTGTACACTTCTTGCTTCCCTGCAACTTGAAAAAATTCCTAACAGCTGAGTCAGTAACAAATCAAAGCAGAAGTGCTTACTTGAATCATGTTCTATCAACTGTGGAAAGAAAGGATGCAAATTACAGTCCACAGTCTGTCCACTTTGGTAAATCTTTATTTTTAGACTGTCATGACAGCAAATCAAGTAATGTTTAAAAATACTCAGCTGCTATTTTGACTGCAGATATGTTTATGTCTGGAGCAGATCTGTTCGGTGACAATAATTACAGTTTATAAACCAATTACAATTTACTCTCAGTAAATATATGTTTAACTCAGTTGCAGTCAATGACCTAAAACAATACAACTGTTTTCTTTTTTGGTATTTGCTATATGTGACTGATCATATGACATACTAAGGTACATCATATCTAAGCTCTGATCACAGAATCAAGAGATACCTCCCATTTTAAAGAACCATCAAAAAGGGCCATCCGAAATCCCAGCTAATTACCTTAAAGAGTTTCTCTGAGATGAGATTGCAAAGGAACATAAAACAATATTTCTAAGGTTTACAATGTGATAAGCAGCTCTTAAAACAATCTCAGGGAAGTTTGCATGTAAATGCTGGAGCCAAGAATGTTCAAGTTCTATACAATGTTACAACAAAAAAATATTTTCAAGGAATGTGAATATTTTTGGTGGAGTGTATAGGGCAGATAGATATTGTCTATTTCTTTTAATCCTTGTTATACCCAGTATGTAGGGTTTATCTAATTTTTATTATAATACTTAGATCCTGAGGTGAATACAGAGTTATTAATTTATTTACAGGGTTTTTCAATATATTTGCTATCTTAGTATCTGAGGGGGTTCATAACCAATGAAGTTTTTATTTTTGCAGGACCAAAGGTGCAATTGTGGTTAAAAGATACTACTGTGTGGCAGGTGTAGAATTAAACTATAGAAAGATGAAAATAAATACAATTAAATATAATATTTTAGGTAAATAAATATACACACATACACCAAGCACAGACATCTCAGGTTCTGATGTTTCACTTGAAGTTGCACACATCCTGCACAAAACCCCTGCCAGAACCAGCTGTAGAATCCCATTTTCTAGAAGAGCATCTAAGTCTCCTTAAACTAGAGATTTTCTTCTCTTTTCGTGCAGAGCTCTTCCTCAATCACTACTTACTTAACAACCTCAGCAAGAAATCAGGCTTGGGTCTCCTTTTGCTACTCAGGTATATTTATTTCTTGGAGCTGAGGAAGAAAACACTATGCCATTGGAAACCATACCACACTGCCTTTGTAAATGATTCTCGGGAGTCTCATTTTTCAGAAGCCCTGTCCTTCGATACAAGATAAAAAGCACCACCTGGAACCACAGTGACCTCTAAGTGAGTCAAGCTCCACATCTTGACACCCACAGCGGGGACAGCTACAGCTTGAGCAATTGCCTTGGCATTAGGCGTAGCAGGTCACCGTCCTCCTTGGCACACCTGCTCTGCAATTGCCATTCAGACTGATCTTGCATATACGTGTTGCCAGCCGAGCTTTAAATGACTCTGCCCGTGACTATGGTACAGCCCAGTGTAAGTGGAGACCGAGAATAAAAGATACAGATGAAAACTTCATGAATAGCACTAATAAATTTCTAGCAAGCATACGCAAGACATATTTTCTTGGAGACTCACACCTTGAACAAGTCCACATGGGTTTTATAGGGGCATTTTGATTTCGGGACAATCCTTCTGGTGAACCTCAAGTCCTCAGTATGAGACATGCAGAGTGAAAAGGTTTTCCATGAGACAACTGACCTGTTAGATAAGCCCAAAGATGGACGGATGAGGCTGTGACAATTAGGGAGCTACTCCCTGTAGCTGGGAATCAGCTGGTTGAGCCTTTGGTGTTTCGTGACAATAACCACTGGTTCAGAGTTACTGAACAGGCTGGAATTGCTTTATACTGAAAAAAACGAATACTTTAAAATGACAGGGACGGAGCAGGTCCACAGTACAGCGCATCAGCCAGGCAGGTTCCTTGCTTTCCTTCCAGAGCGTGCGTGCTGCTCAGGTTCCTACAGCAGCACATCAGCTTCTCTTCAGCTCCCTAGACCTGGCATGTGGGAGCGTGGAGCTCAAGAGAAGCTGTCACATCATCAGGCCTCCCCCTCAACTGGCAAACCGGTGCTGCCTGTGTGCAGTAAAAGAGGCACCAAACCCTGCTACTGCAATTCCTGTCCAGTGAAACGCACTGGTGCTGTCATGGGAGGAGTAGGGGAGAGCTCAGAGCAGTGAAGTACAGGCAACACCAGGTAGGAACCGCTGGTAGAAACCCCACACCACACTTCCACCTGAGAGAAGCAATATTTCTTGTTCCTTCCTACCTGGCGCAACGTAGGCGCAGCCCACCTGAGACAAACCCACCCCAAAATTCCAGGAGCTGAAGTGGTCCCCTGGGATGGTGGTAGGGTGCAGGGCAGCCCAGCAAGGAGGGTCTTCTGCTGGGCATGTTGGGGAGTTGTGTGGGGACAGGCAGGACAGGAGAAGGGGGAGGCTGTGGCATGGAGCTGCTCAAGCTGCTGGTCCTGCACGTGAGGGGTCCCTGTGTTGTCCTTAGTAGAGACACAGTCAGGCAAACTCTCACTTTGCATCGATCTGGCGGTAGAGCGCAGGGCAGCCCAGCAAGGAGGGTCTTCTGCTGGGCATGTTGGGGAGTTGTGTGGGGACAGGCAGGACAGGAGAAGGGGGAGGCTGTGGCATGGAGCTGCTCAAGCTGCTGGTCCTGCACGTGAGGGGTCCCTGTGTTGTCCTTAGTAGAGACACAGTCAGGCAAACTCTCACTTTGCATCGATAACTGGGAAATGGGTTTGGTTTGAGTTCAGCAAGTGCTTTAAAATAACAGGTAACTGGGAAATGGGTTTGGGTTTGTTTTGAGTTCAGCAAGTGCTTTAAAATAACAGCTTCCAGTTTAGTTGCAGTTTGAGAAAAAAAAAACCAACAACAAACACAAAAGAATGGTCCAAACTGTGCTTTTTCCCCGAAAACCCAAAAGAATGGTCCAAACTGTGCTTTTTCCCTTTGGGCTCAGGTTCTATTTTATGCTCTGGTAACAATCCCATTAATATATTTTTCTGAAAACTTTTTGAGATAATTAAGTGAATGGTTTTAAGCAAAACAAAAGAAACCCAGCCCAAGGCAGATGTCCCGTATAGGGAATTTCAGAGCTACAGGTCAAGGTCTAAGTCATAAAATCAAAAGAGAAGAGATTCCTGCATAAAAATTGCTAAGCAGCCACAACTCTAAATGGTACAGTAGCACCTCTAACACTTGTGATTCTTACTTCATCATCTTACTATTCATTCTGGCCTATAAACATACAGTTTGCAGTCTGAATCTACAAACCTCAATGGATTTTAAGGCTTAGCATTTCAGCCAGAAGATTGCTTGTGCCTCTCCTCTGACCCTTACTCCTTGTCTTACTTCTCAGAGTTTCTTGAAAATTACAGAAATTGAATTTTTGATTTATCATCTGTCCTGCTACTGTATCTCAGAATCAGCATCTTAGTGGTTTATAAACCCCAGATACAGTGCTGCAAATCTGGGGTTTATAAACCCCAGATACAGTGCTGCAAACTATAGCTAATCCACTGAATATATTACAGAGGGTTTGGTTTTTTTTTTGAGAGTAGCATGTCACAGAAGTGTTTGCAGTTACCAGCTGCCTTTGTTTTAGGCTGTCATTTAAGACATCTTGTGTCTGATTATTCTAATTCCTCTTAATGACTAAGGCTGGTTTGAAAATGTTTTGATTTTCATAGCTCGGTACAGTAACCATTGCATTGCATAAGGTTTGACCAATAAAGACTCCAACTCGATTTACAAAGCCTTACCTTAATCATAGAGCCCCTCTTTGTGTAGCAAACACTTGCTCTCCCGGTTCTGCTCAGCTGGGCTGAAGTGAGGTGGGCAAGGGAGAACTGCGAGCAAAGGAAGAGGAGAGAATGGGAGGACACGGAGCAAGCCCAGGCAGAAACATCAAGTAGTTTTGGGATGTTAAAAATAAATCCCGTGCATGTGACCGTGTAGCTCAGCTTACAGAGCAGTCTATTGCACCGTATTCGTTAACACTGTCACTTCTGGAGGGAAACTTCACAGAGAAGATGTGAGAGGCGGAACCAATAATACTCTGTAACCCCTGCATGAGAGGAAAAGATTAAAATCCTTCCCAGAGTCCTGTATCAGCCCCCTGACACTCTCTGATGGGGGTCTGCCCTTTTCTACTCAACTCCCCTCGGTGCCCACACCAGTTTGTGGTTTCTGCTGTTGGAACTGTCGCCGTGGCCCCAGCTCCCATCGTCACTAACTCCAGCAGCTGGTGCACACAGTGACAGCGGGTTTCCGATCTGTCTGGGCAGAAGGAGAGCAGGAATGACCCAGAGCTGAGCAGCTGGGCAGATCTGCCTGCCTGCGTCCCATGGACCCCCCAGGAGACTCCCCAGCTCCAGCCCCTCCACCACAGCACAGCGAAAGGGTCCCACCAGCCAGCGGGAGGATGCCTGAAGAGTGCAGGTCCCAGTGTTACCCTTCCTCAGCCAAACCTGAGGAAGCTAAGGAGATCAGTCACGTTTTACCTTCAAGGTGGGCCCGTTAAAGCATTTCGTGTTGAGTTTCATGGTGAGCATTTCATACTCGTGGTGAGTACAGACATATGGGTACTACTACATGTCAGTGAGGTTCAGGGTGCAGATGGGGCAGACGTTCCTTCTCCCTGGTAGGTGCTCACCTCATCTGGCTGCAAAGACACCTCTTGTGACCCTGCTGCTGTACGGGACCACTTCTCACCAACTCAGAAACACAGAACAACACCTTTTGGCTGTGGTGGTGGCGGCTCTGAGATCCTTGGTCACGATGAACTTGTTGCTTTGCCTTATCTTTCTCTTTCCCTATCTGCGAGTTCCTGGTGACTCTCATCATTTGAAACAGTGCAGGCAACTGTGTTTTCATTTTTAGGGCTGAACAAAATGTCAGTAGGTGACAACCAAGGCTTGCTGGTGCCAATCGTAATTTAGTAGTGCTAAATATGGTTAGCAGTCTGGCTCCGTGGCCTTTTTTAGAAAGGGCTGCATTATCGTGATACCATTTTCTGTCATCCTATTGCACTGGGGGGAAACAGGGACCAGTGCTAATGTGCCTAATCCCAAACTTCACCCAATCACAATATGATCTCTGATCTATTTAATCCGTCCACTTCCACCTCTCATCCTGCTGTTCAGCAACACTCTTCAGCCTTCAATGTTGTCATTGTCTTTTTAGACTGTGTTTAAAAACATACTGCTTGTGTGCCTCACTTTATATAAAAGTAAAAAATTATTCTCAAAATTCAGTATTATTGGTTTAAGGGTAAACTCCCTCCAGCTGAATCACCCCAGATCACTAAAATACTTAGGGCTTCAATGATTAGCTGTTGTCAAAAATGAAGCTACCTCCTGTCTTAATTTTACTGGCACCTGATGTCAGCCTGGCTTTAGATCTCCGCGTTTCCAGTCCTAACTCTGGTGGCAGAGTTTTTCCTGCTTCCACGTGCTGCTTGGTGATCACGCAGACCCAAACAGCCTGCCCAGGACCTGCCTCACTCTTGCAGCACAGCCTCACCTGACACAAGCCCCCGAGTTTTGCAAATCCATGCCTGCAGGTGATGACTATACTCCAAAAAGGCATCATCTGCGGTGGCCTTTTAGGGCAGGGTATCACAAGATGTGATGCAGAAAGAAAGTAGTTGACCATCCCTGAAAATATGTGTGTGGTGGAGAGAAGGGAGAAGAAGAGGAAGCAGGAATTCATCCTTGTACCTGCAGCACAGAGTTGTATTAGCTCAGCTGTATCTGAAACCAGACTCAGCAAAACCAGGAGAGCTTGCAGATCTCTACTGCCGCCCTTACCTGTGCTAATTTGCTTCAAGGTATGTCAGGAATGCCAACCAATACTGTAACCAGACCTCCTGCTGCAGGATAGATGTGCTTAATGGCAGGGTGTGAGAAACCTCAAATCCCTGAAAGAAAAGTGTTACCTGTTGTATACTTGTGATGCAAATGCTTTGGGAGAAAGCTGTTGCCTGTCTGCTTTAATCTCTCTTATCTCAATTCTGTGGGCAGAAATACTGTGGTATATAGAAGCCTGATGAAATATACTTATTTATATGTATATCATATGTATACGATATGTATACAAATATACATACCTATTGACATGGGAAAACCAGGCTAGATCTGGTACCCTGAGAGAAGCAAGGCTGGTGCAGCTCCATGCCCCCAGGTCGAAGCAGAGCCAGGCTGAGCTTGTATTCCCAGTAGGCACATGCACAAACACACCTATACACCACCGAACCATATATACAGGGATGGCCACACAAAACACACAGCAGCCAGCCACACAGACCACTCACAGGAACACAGGCAGAGCCAAAGACCTCATCCCACCTCCCCCTCTGGCTGAGCAGGATGGAGGTGCACTATGGAGCGCATATGTATCTGTGTATATTTATATACATATCTACATACATATACATACGTAGTGTGGCTCCCTCCAGCAGTTGGGCTCAGGCAATCTGCTCAGTACCTGCCCCTTGATCCCAGCCTCTCCAGTCTGCCAGCTCCCCCCGAGGTGCTCTGACCCCCCAGGTCCCCCAGCCTCTTTGGCAGCTGCTGGAATCCCCCAGCCCTCCTGGTCGCGAGCTCCTCCCTCACAATTCCCGTCCCCCAGCACCCAGGCCCCCCTCACTGACTGGTCTGGCTGCACCCTTGTTGCTGCTCACACACTCGCCTGCACCGGGTGGTGCCCCAAAACCTGAGTCCCAGGCCAGCCATTGACACCCAGACCCCCCCGCCACACACACACACACGGAAAGGACAGCTCCTCGCGCAGGGCAAACTGAGGAAGGAGTTTAGTGAGAAGATGGGACAGGCTGCGCTCATCAGGCGCAGGGCATGGCCAGACAAAGCGTCTCACACCATTTACACTCAACCAGCACTTTTTATTCCCATAAATTCCTCTGTTCTCCCACACTTGTTCCCCACCCCCTCCAAAATCACCTAGATCCCTCGCTTTCCCACCTTTGGTTCTTCCCCTAATGGGTCCTCTGTGGTCCCCAAACACTCTTCCCCCTCAACCCATGTCTATCCCACACCCCTGACTGCAGCGACCCCCCGCAACCCAAAAGGTGTTCTGGGGCTGAGGCTCCCCTGGGAGAGGCACAGACAGGGTGTCCCTTCCACCAAGTCCTTAGTTTGGGTTCCCCACTACCATCGTGCCCCTGTTCTCCTCAAGATGGGCTTTTTGTGGGCTGATGGCACCCAGGATGGGCCTGCGAGCAGCCCGGCAGGGTGCTGTTGGGGCTCCCCCCCTCCTGCTGTCACCTCCCTGTGCTCCTTTGTGGGTGTGCAGGTGAGCTTGTGTCACACCATCTGACCTCCCTATCTATCTCAACACGTGTCACAGCTGAACAGCGGCTGTTGTGGCTTTTAGGTGACCAGTGAGCAGCACCTCTACTGATGGCTGCCTTCAGTCGTACCCCAGTACGCTCGCCCGTGAAATGGCTTCGCTTGTCACCCTTCTCTTGCCGCGTCGTGCTTTGTGGTGGCACCGAGGCCACCGCTAGGTCACCTGCACGGCGGGAAGCAGTCGTTACCCAGTGGAAATATCAGCTCATTAGGTTATTCCGGGACGCGGGAAGGAGGGGGTCCCCGTCCCTTTTACCGCTGCCTGTCACGGAGGTCCCCTGGCGGCAGCGCTGACAGGCGGCACGTTACGGCCTAACACCGCCCGGCCAACCGCAGCTCCGGCGGCGCCCGGCCGCCATCCCCCGCTCCATCGCCCGGCCTCCGCCTCGCCCGGCCGCCGCCCCTTAAGCGGGGAGGCGGCACCTCCTCCCCCGGCCCTCCCGCCCGGCGGCCCCCGCCGCACTACAACTCCCGGCATGCCCCGCTGCACACTGCGGCGGGAGCGGCGCGCTCGGCATGCCGGGAGTCATAGTCTTTCCCGGGGGAGGGCGGCGGCCCGCCTCCTCCGTCAACCGCCGTCCTGAGGAGGGCGCCGCTGCTGCGTGAGGGGTCTCCGCCGCCGGTTGGGCGGAAACGTTCTCTCTCCCAGAGTGCGCTGCGGTGAGGCGGGAAGTTACGCAGCGCGCTGGGCGCGTGCGCACTGCCGTCGCCAGCCAGCGCTGGGCAGGCAGGGAGGGAGCGGCGCTCGCGCGCCTCAGGCCCGAGAGGAGACAGCGCCGGGCCGGGCCGCGCCGGCAGCAGGTAACGGGGCGGGGGAACGGGGGAGAGCGCGGCCCTCCGCGCCGCCGGGACTTGGTGGTGTGTGGGGGGGAGCCCCGCTCTCGGGCCCGCGCCGCGCCGAGGGGAGCCGAGCCGGCGGAGCGGGGGGA